TTTGATTGTGGATCTCTCTCGTCGATTAGTTTTCATAGCTTTCTAATCCTCTCATAACTTTCATTCTCTCAAACTCAAAACACTCGAAAGATCTTTACACTAGCTTTTAGCGTAGTGCACTTACCTCGTGTCGTTCGATTCGATCGGCCGATTGGATAAAGAACTCCTCCAACCGGTACCACACTATTGTCGGTCAAGCTTGGATTTCTCTCCTGTTTGCCATAGGAATTGAATGAGGGAGAGAAGTCAGTGCTGTGCCTTCAATGATATCGATGGACTTGAACCATTCATTGTGCCGTACTCAATCATTTTATCCTTAACCTTAGTAACTTCAACGGTCATTTGTTCCACGAATGGATCTATTTTTGTTGAACGAGAACCTGTTACTTATAGATACACATGACCGTTGATTCTGCTACTGAAGTGCGGGTACACTAATTTACACAGTAAACGCGAGCCAATCGATTTCAGAGTGCAACTGAGGGGGTAACCAAAAGGTGCGTCGTCTCAGGAGACGTAATTGAGCCGGAAGGTCCTGGGAAACATGAAAATCTGGAATTGAATTCATCACTAATTAAACATTTTCATCACCATTCATCACCATTCAACACATTGGTGATGATTTCATCACCATTCATCATATTTCATCACGGTTTCATCATTTTAATCACCATTCATCACCATTCATCATCTCTATAGTGAAACAGTACTAAATTTCATCACCATTCATCACCAGTCATCACGAATTCATCATTTTCATCACCATTAATCACCATTCAACAAATAGGTGATGAATTCATCACCATTAAACACATTAATCACGAATTAATCATAATTAAACTATTTCATTATTTGCGGGACCTTCCGGTGCATAAAAAACGATTGATGCCCGTGGGATCCGAATGTGTGCTACACTCAACTCGCTACTAGCTAGCTAGCTAGAACTTCTCCTAAGTAGTAGATAGCTATCCTTGTACACCGCCGGCGATGGGTGATGGTTGATGGTACCGGTACGAATGCTATCGAAGTAGAACTTGGAATAGATTTTTGGAGTGGTGCAATCTGATGCAAAGTAAGGAATTCTTGGATCCCAGGCATTGGACAACGAAGCAGACGTCACTCTTTGAAGTAGACGCCTAAACTGGCCTAACCCTACCTTTCTTCAGAGACATAACTCTCTGCAACAATAGATCTAATCACATTAGTTGATAGTCACTACCACCAATAGTGGCTGCTCATTGGTATACAGTGGTTGGCTTGTCAAAGACTGACACCCCCGGCCGGAAACATGCATCAATGGCCAGTGCATTGCTGCCACTATTGATGCATGAGGTAGCCACGCTGCATAGTCAGACAAGGCTCTGTTAGATCTCAGTTTGGTTAGTTTCAAGGTGTAGCCATTGAATGGATACCCTGGCTATGTTCAGAAGGATGTCAGCAAGCACACAACCCCAGAGACCAGAGGGCAAGGCCAGGAAGATGGTAAAGCTCTTTCCTGTACCCGGCCAAAAGCAGTGCACGTGATGATGGCGCAAGTTAAGATGATGAAGAGGAGGAAGGCACTGAAGAAGGGCAGGCAGAGAACGAAGAGATGGATGCCGAGGAGATGAGAGGATATCTACAATTACGTAGATTGTCTTTTAGCTTCAATCATGAATGTCAGTGTTTTCTAGTGCGGGTATTTGTAGTGCAACAACACCAACAGCCCACCGAGAACCCCCGCCTTCTGCAAGGCTGCGCGGCACGAACTAAGATTTCCACATGCCACATGTCTAATACGGCAGGACGCAGATGCAACCACACACAATAGCAGGTACGATACAATCGTACAGGTACGGTATGACTGGCTGCCCCTTTATTGTGGCCCCGTGGGAATCGAATCTCCACTCTGATCATCACACCAACTAACTTGAATGTTGGAGAACTAAACGACGGCCCATGGCCCATGGCCCACAACTCCCAGGATTGATTACTCCGGCCAGCCAGCTCTGTTGATAGTGTGATAGTGCTATGCATCGCTACTACAGGTACTACTAGCTAGTACTACATTTTGTAGCTACAGTATCATAGTACATCGTACCGGTACCGGTGGCCCACCTAAAATTTTTAAAAGTGCCCACTGTACTAGTATCTTCAAGCCGAGTGAAAGGTTTGGATTTGTCTGATTCAAATTGAGGCATCCAACGCCATTTACCTGAGTATCCAAGAGCAGCATTGGGTTTGTGACGCCCCACTTAGGTGAGCCGGGCGCACGCCCCGCTCCGTCGCCAAACGGCTACTCTGACCAAAACACAGAGAGCCCAGTCTCGCTGCTTTTTCGCTTGTTTTCATGAAAGGAAGAGCAATACATGTACTCGCGACTTCTTGTACATCACGGCGAGCTGTTGTTCCCCTCCACCATCACCCACAGCGGCACGGTGTCGATCAACTACATACACATCAGATCAAACTAACAAGCGGATGCGACGCTATCTGTGTGAAGGAACAAATTCATTACGGCATCTGTAGAATAGTGGACGAGGCCAAAGGAGCGGACAACCCTCAGTCAGTGCTGCACCATATTCCTTCATAACTGTGTGTTCGTTTCATTCAATCAAGTTCAGAGATCATGACGACCTCTTCAAACTTGTGGCGACAACTTCTGGTGGCGACAGCTCTGATTTTTGCTCTTGTTGGTGTTGTGGATTGTAAGCTAGCAGATCGCTCTCGAATAGTAAAGGCTCGGCTGGACGCTGGCCATATAGATCGGTACCACGACAATGGGAGACCAATCGAAGGACAAGGCTATCGCTCACGTCGTGGAGATGACACATATGATGTAGACCAACGAGCAAGAGCCAAAGCTACGCAAAAGAAAAAACTCGCAAAGCGAAAGCCAGCACCATGGCAAATGGAGTTTCCTCCAGACACAACTGGCAGCTACATGGAAGAAAGCGCTAGAATCGACGAGGGAGACGTGCAAATGAACAACGAAACTCCGGAGGAGTTCCAAAGAAAGCTTTCTTCACAACTCTCAGGTTGCTGTTACACCTATCAAGGATACTCTGCTCAAGACCTTTGCAATATGTATGGGAATGACTGTGAGAGCGGAGAAACCCCCTCTCACGATTCTGGCGACGGTGATTGTTCCCAGGATGGTCTGTCGTTCATCGGCGTCTCCTTTTCCGTGAACACAGCCAATGGAAACCCATACTCGTACCAACTGTGTGACCAGTTCCCGATGGAGAACATTATTGACCGCGACTATGAGTACATTATGAGTATGGATGAAGATGGCTGGCTCGTTGGAGGAGGATACAAAACCTTTGACTACTCTGGAAAGATGCCCTACATTGACTCTTCTCATACAGAGCTGCTGCGTATCGGTAACATGGATCCCACCACAGGGTAAGTAATGCGACACACGTGCATATCTTCCTCGTCATCCTCCGCGCATCCTGCTCACGGACAGCTTTTTCTTGCCTTGTCTGTACAGAGGAACAAGCATTGACCAGGTGTATTCGGCAATGACCGCCATCTCATTCGCGCCTTTCAGCATCTTTCCAGAGTACCTGAAAGGAGGAGGTGGGCACCACTCTGGTGACAACAACGACGAAGAAGCAGCAGTTCCGTCAGGAGATGTCACCTTGATTGTTTCCGTCGTTGAGACCTATGACGATGACAACTCGTACTCTTCCTATGAAACTTTCTTGGACGATCTGTTCAATGCCATGGACTCTGTGGGTGGAGGTCCATGTATGGACGATCATGACACTGATCCTCACGTGTCAATGTCCCGCGGTGTCAAATTCTGGTCGTCGTACCACCAGCAACAATACATGTACGAAGCCAACCTAGAAGTCGCAGTGTGGCAAGCTATGTACCCAAATGGAGTACCCATTGGATCGTCTGGAGATGCTGCATTCCCCCCTGGTCGTGGCGGCACAAGGCAGTATGTTGGTTACGGCAATCTCTACTTCTTCTTTGATCGAGCCAACATTACTCAGGCATTCCGCCCGTATCGAAGTCTCACTGACAATGAGAAGTACTACTCAACTTTGTACACTACTGGAGAAATCTCATACTTTTACTCAAAGACGACCTCCATCAACTTTGATTACAGCGGATCACGTGATGACGGCGACGAAACATACGAGCACAATGCATACGCCTGGAATGCTCAGGCGGCGATGCACGATATGACCGACGGGTGGGACCTGCCGCCAAACTGTCTCCAAGAGGGTGAAACTTTCTTTGGAATCCCGCTTTCCAGAACCAGTGACTCCAAGCTTCAAAGTACATCCACCTTCCAGGATCAGTTTGATTTTGAGTACCTTGTGGACCGAAACAATACATACGTAAATTCCTTTGGAACAAATCACGGTTGGCTCATCGGAGAAGAGTTGGACAATGCGGTCGGTTCTATTGTAGACAAGGATACAGCGCACATTCCAATTTTCTACACCGGAACGACGAATAAGAACATGGTAAGTCAATTTGCAGATGTGAACACTGTATGCCTGCTATTTGGTCTCCTATCCTATCTAACGCCTGTTTCTGTGCTGTTGTTCTTCTAGGGAGGAATTACGCTTTCGGACCTGATCAAAATCGCAAAGAACGTTGACTTTGGAACACTCTACGTCAAGCCCGCCTTTGTTTTCGTGGACGACGACGGCCACGCCAAGCTTCAGTTCGAAGCGGATCCACAGTCTGCGATGGCATACTTGTATGACACGCTTTGCAAGGAATTAGGAATCTCGTGGAACTACCATTCCCCTACCAACAACCTCGGTATTTACACAAACTGTGCCATGCACGCTGCCGGTGATCGAGCTACCTATGGATGCGGCCCCGAGAACTCCAATACTGGCGGATTCTGCCCTCAGATGGTTCTAGCCTACAGTCCTCGCTTCACTGACGAAGATTCCGCTGCAGCATACCTGTCCAGGTGCAACAGCTACGTTGACTACTGGCGTTCGCTCTATCCTTCTGGTGTTGCTGTTGGCACTAGTTCTTTCTGCCCCTCCGGAGGTTGTCTTGCCCTCTTCTTGAACCGTATCGATGTGTACGAGGTTTTCAAGCCGGATCTTGGTGGTGCATGGGTCGAATACAATGGTGCGTCGATGCCACCCACCTTTTCGCCTGCACCTACATGGAAGGGAGGATGCGACGAGCCCCACAATGTTTTCCTAGACAAGTGCGTTCGCAAGCGATACAAGCCCAAGCCCTCGGCTGTTGCATGGGATGCTTTGGGATCAGTTGGTCAAATTTCCGTGATGCTTGTGGTTTTCATGGCCGTTACGCTTTCTATTTCCATCTTCCTCGCCAGAGCCAGAAAGAAGCGCCGACGAGGTGAAAGTTACCTTGGTTTCTTCTTCCGCGACCTCACTCGCAAGAAGAGAGGACGTCGCAAGAAGAAGAACTCGGCCCTTGAGGAGAGCATGCTTCCTGACAATGCAAGCCGCCGATCCAAGTCAAGTCGTCGTGGAGGTTCCCGCTCACGGGCCAGCAGCCGATCTTCCAAACGGAGGAGCCGATCTGTTGGTGCTGGCTCAAAGAGCGGGCGAGATCGCAGTCGCTCTAGATCCCTTCGACCGGTCCCAGTGCAACCGCTTGATCGCTCACAACGCTCCCGGTCTCGAGAGCGAGAAAAGTTGTCTTCAGGCGCCTCTGTTGGTTCTACTGCGTCTCGCCGGAGCGGCGTTTTTGACATTGCTGTCACCAGTCCACAACCTGATGATGGCAGCAACAAGAGACAGCAATTGGTATAGCCCCCTCTGATCTGCCCATCTATGAACAACAACTTGACAGCTGCGAGAGCTTCATGATTATTGTTTCAGTAGCACTACGCTTGCATACATGACGCATTGTGCTAGTCATTCGACTTCTTGTCATTCTCAAAATGGACTTCTTAGCGATATTCGTTGGTGACTTGAGGAGGGGTAGCGACGGCAACGAGAAGAGGGTATTCTGCCGGTAGATGATCTAACAAATTGTAATGTAACGTTTTTCTAATGTTTGCTTAACCCCACTATCTGCAATCTTTACTTGTCACTACCGTGCCGGTAACGCCACCCTTCTGGCATACAGACAGATACATGTACAGGGAGACATCTTGCTTGGTCTAATGTTTGGTTTTCTCTTCCGAGCCATTGGTACTAGAAAAGCAAGGGCAGAAGCATCTCTGGATACAGGCAACGTACGAGTATGTAAGCCTGGCATGCCAGCTCTTACATGATGTAACCCAAGTCTAACGAATGATGAATCGAATCTCGGATGTTAGCACGAGAATCGAATCCGAGGGCTTCTGTATTGTACCGAGCGTAGCTATTGCAGTACGGTCCGATATTCGAGACGTTGCTCCTTTTGCTTCTCCATTTGATCCACCAGATATTTTCCAGAACACACCTTGTTGGATCGTCCATCCATGTATTTAAAATAATAGTCCATTGTATACAGAATTAGGTTATCAGTGGAGACGACAATTCCAACCCACTGACCCCATTGCACAGGAATCGAGTCGCCGAGACATACGGTAGGTCTTGTCGAGCATGCCAAAAATGACAGGCACAAAGGATACTTGACAGAGTACCAGCGATACAAATGCTCGCTTTATGGCTGGGTCAACATCGGGAAGGAGCGGGATCCAGAAGAAACCAGTGACATTATTGAGCCCAAAGGCGGCCAACCAGAGGTAAAAGCCAGGCCAAAACCAGCTATATTACATCACAGGAGCGACCCCCAAAGGCGAAGAAGAGACGCCCCCCATCTCACAGCCAGTGCCAACCATCCTGCAGTTCCCAGGACTGCGATGAGGAGGCCGGGGGCATTGTGTAGGGCGGTGGAGGTGGATCGGAAGGCTCTCTTCTTGAGCCTGAACATTGTTGTATACGCAGTATACGCAAACAGAAGTGCGCCACAGGGCAACGCCACAGTGGTTACCAATTGGTTCGACTCTGTGCTCATCGTCGCTGCTGGGGCCTTGAAAAAGAAGTTGAACGGACTCATGGCGTATTGTGTGTGGGAGATGATAGCTATCGGTGCCGGATTGTCTTGGAGAGATGATGGCTATCGGTGCTTGAACTGACCAGAGTAAGAGCTAAGCATGCATGTCAGCTCTCCTTGCATGTAACTCAAGCCAATAGACAGCGGGTCAGAAGACTCTAGCTAGACCCACAAATTGTCTGTCCTGCACAAATTTAATCTTGTGTTGGTGGCTTTCTACTGCCAAAGACCGACATGTTCTCACCACCAATGAAGTGGCGGAAACGGTAAACTCTGGTACCAGTGCTCGAGTAGATGCGTGATCCGTGCCATGATTGTCCTGATCCCCTGCGTACGACTGTACAGTACTTTTCGTTTTGCTGCTGTCAACAGGTGAACGGGTTGGTTGCCGGGCAATACTTGTTAATGAAACATGACACATCGAACTCAGCTTCTTCTAATGTAGAATAATATCAAACCAGCTCGGTTCCAGTAAAACAGTTTTCAGAATGACTTATGACTGTTGAAGCTCCATTGATCAGCTGTTGATCTATGCATACTCGTTATCGGCACTCACAACTAACCACTGCGAGAGTCTCAAAGCCTACCAGGTGCTAGTACCAGAACAGTCGTAGCTAGCTACCATGTAAACGTACAGACAGGGACATTGACGATTTGGAATTGTTGGTGTCGCTGCTGGGAACAACGGAATACCACGTCACTCCAGAGTTGCAGGAAGTGGCGCATTTGTTTGTGTCCAGACGGTACTAGTACGGTATTCCAAATACAGGCAACCTGTCAAGACTCTTGACAGTCTTGACAGAGTGTTCCTCCATCACCAACCACTGCTAGCTAGCTAGCCAGGTCACTCCAGATCTCGAGAGCAGCATCCTGCAACAACAACAGAAGAGACAACAGAAAACAGTTATATCTTGCCCTGTTTTATCAGCTGACTTTGGGGGTTCCCGGCAACCGAATGCGGAAACAGCCAATTGAGATGTGGTCATTGGTCATTACATACCGGTACTTGGTCGTCGCCTCCTTGCAAGGTCAGCTGAACATTCTGAGCACTGAGCAACATTTCATTTGCCCATCGAAAAGGCGCACAATATCCGAACGTTGCACTTCAGAATTGTTGTAGCTTGTTTCTCTCGTTAAGTTCCAGGAGTGCAACTGTCGATAAGGGTAAGATGCAGTCGTTGCTGTTGAACGATGCAAAAGGAGAAGGGGATGTTCGCATGGCAGAGATGTTCCATTTGCTTGTCGCCCGTGTGGCTAGCTCTAACTGTTTCATCACGTTTGAAACTTTGGATCCTCTGTATTAAGGCATCTAGTAGTCGTTGAGACGACAGCCGACCTTCCAAGAAGGGTTCCAAATACGTCAACTGGAATCTTCGTTGTCATTCGTTCCGTCCAGCCAAGTCCGCGCATCTGGATCCATTCCATTTGATGAAACCAGATCGCTCCAAATCATCGATTGCGTCGCTACGTTTACTTTGATGTTTTTTCTGTTTTCCTCTCTAGTCATTGAAGCGAAGGATAATATCAGACATGTCGACGCCTACTGCGGACGATTCCGAGGTTCTTGCACTGTCCAGGTCAATGACAGGGGACTCCATCGGGAACTCAAGCTCGATGGAAAGCTCGAGGGCGTTCAGACGATCCGTTCGTGTCCAGAACAGCTTTGACGAACAAACCTTGGCCATAGAAGAAGAAGAGGACCACACCGAGACCCTGTTGTGCGAAGAGGATATCGAGACAACCCTTCACAGCAATGCCATTCGTGAGAATGAATCCGAGGGTAAGGAATCTGCCGGAAACGAACTAGGTATCAAATGCGATGCCGTTCACGAGATATCCAATGACGACTTCGACGATCTGGACGAGTCGGAGATAGTCGATGACAAGCTCCAGCTAGAAGACGAAGATGCAGGTCAAGGATATGGAGACGAAGGCAAAAGCAAAGACACGGAGACCGGCATCGACAATGGCAGCGCTGACGGTGACGATATCTCTATCTCAGAAGAGGGCCTAGACGATGTGTCTTCCATTGACTCAGCGGCGGCAAGGGAGGAAGCCCTACGTGACGGCTTCATAGGATTCTTTATGGGCTATCTACAAAATGATCTTTTCCAAAGATTCTTGGAATTTGCTTCTAAAGCCCTTGGCTGGTTCCTCAAGAAGCTTGGTCGGGGTGGTAATGACGATCACGGTGATGTTGGAGCCGAAGAACTTGCAGAGGAGCTGTTGGATGCAGCTGATCCAGGAGCACCAAACATGTTGACTCAGCAATGGACATCGATGCATTCGTTGGTGAGCCCAACTCCAGGTGGTGGCGGCGGGGGCGGTGGAGCAGGTGGCGGAGGAGGTGGAATGGTTGCACCGCCTGGCCCTCCTCCAGGAGTTACCGAGATGGCTACAGCTGCAGTAAGCACAGAAGACTGATTTCTCACCTTTACCTTTTTTCATGAAATGATTTGCTCAACATCCATTCATTCTCTTCTCTGTGCCTAGGCAAACAGTGCTGCATCCGCCGGAGCTAGTGGAGCTGCTGCTGGAGCAGCGGGTGCTGCTGCTGGTGGTGTGGTAAGGACCCATCTGAATCTCAAGCTTTTGAATAATTCATTCTCTTCAAGCAAGTGGTTCTCTTATTGATCCCTCCTTACCTTTGGCTTGCTACTTGGTAATGGCAGGGAGCAATGGCGAGTGCTGCGACTGCAGTTGCAGGAGCTGGTGCCTCGGCTCAAGCAGGGGCTGCTGTTGCCGCCGGTAAGCCATGCATCTTGTTGTTTAGTCTTCCAACTCCCAATCACGTAGCTAATCTCTTTGATTGTTGAATTCTCCCACCTTTAATATCAGCGGCGGTGGCCGCAGCTGCAGTGTCTACTGCAACCGTTGTGAACACAACTGCTCCAGTGTACTCCAATTTCACCCCACCGGATTGTGGTGATGTCACCACCAAGAAGGTGGGATTTGTCGAACTCAAGATTGCAGCATTGCCACCACTGGCATTGGAGCAACGCCCTTGGGCATTGGAAGGACTCTTTCGTGACATCTACAACCAAATCACTGGGATGTGCCTAGATCCCATGACGCGAGTCTTGCATGAAGCAATCCTGGAGCACTGGGAAACCGACTGGGGTCCCAATAGTACCATGAACGCCACCAATCATCTTAATATGACCAGTGAAGAGTATGATGCTGCTGTTGCCCAAAGTGTCACAACAACTTATTTCCAGGCCCATGTGGAATGCAACGGATGCCCTGATCACGAGCCACTTTTTGAAGTAGGAGAAATTGGTTCAGAGATCCAAGATCGACAGCTGGTTGTTGGGAGTTATGATGGAAGGTCTATGTTCTCTGCTACTCAGACATATCGTCAGCTGGAGCAGATTCCAACTGCAAACTTTCTCGAAGTGTTTGGCGCTTCACTGTCGTACAACTTGGACAATGTTCTGAATGGAAATGGACCTGTTAATGCATCCGAGTTCATCATAACTACCAATGTCACAAGTTCAGCCCGCATTGTGGGTGCACTGACAAGACCTGTCAATCCTGGTGGGACCGTGGATAGGAATGGAGTTGTGGGTGTTGTTGGAGAGGAAGATATCGAAGCAGCCATGGTTGTAGTTGAGGAGAATGGAGGGACCATTGTGGCAGCCTTTGTCACGAATGATTTAAATGATGTTGGAGATTGCTTCAACACGGAATCCGAATTGGCAGGCACTGGCTTTTGCCAAAGTGTTGTTGAATCATCTGCATCAGTGGGAGCTGATGCAGAAACTGTTCTTGGTTGTGTGCAAGATCCTACATCATCATTGCAATGCCAATCGATCTTGCCAACTCTGTTGGAAGCGCCTGAGAAATCTGGCCAAGATGACAGACCACCTGGAGATGAAAGCATTAATGAAGCCTTCAAAGACAGTGCAAATGATGAATTGGACATTTCAGGTGAAGGCCCGGCAGACGTTGATGGATCCGACAATGCAGGACCAGATGTTTCTTCTGAAGAGTCCAGCCCTGATAGCACAAGTGGTGTTGAGGAAGAATCAACACCCGTTGGGGCCAGTGAACCAAATGATAGCCAAATGGATACAGACCAGGGTGCAAGCCAAGATGGTTCCTCTGCAGCCTCACCAGGTACTGGGAATTCAAGCAATCCAGTGGATGCAGATCCTGTAGGTGAATTGGCTGCCCGAGAAACCGGTCCATCTGATGCTTTTCAACCAGAGGCACCCGCTGAAACTTCAGCAGATGCTACTCCTTTTCAACCAGGTGTTGCACCGGGAGGTGTCCCCTCTGTGTCAGCCACAAGTCCAGCTGGTGCCCCAATCACTGCCAGCATCCCATCTGCCCCAGTCACAAGTCCAGCCGGTGCTCCAATCAATGGCAACGCCCCTTCAGCTGCAGCCACAAGTCCAGCTACAGCTCCTCTTGTTGGTTCACCGGCAAGCCTTTCTGCAGGGACACCAGTTGGTGTTGAAGGAAGTAATCCAGCCAATGTTCCAACAATACAAGCTGTCCCATCAGTTGGCAGCTCCACAGGAAGGACCGAACCAACTGCGGATTCAAACGTACCAGCTCCTCCCAATGTTGATTTACCCCCTGCCGTTCCCGGTCTGCCAACAAGTCTCACCTTAGGCACTGTCCCAGCTGCTCTAAGTGCTCCTTCTCCTTTGATTGCCAACTCTGCTTTACCCTCAAGTCCCGATGCTGGAGGGGTCACTCCCAGTGAACCATCAAGCCCCTCAATACATGCTCCAGTTCCATCTGCTATAGGCGGTGGAGAAAGCCCACCATCTGGAGTCAGCCCAACTGCGCTCTCCCCAGTAGGGTCTCCCGCTCTTGAGAATAACCCTACTGCAAATGGCCCCACTATCAATAGCAGCCCCTCAGTACCAGCTACACCTCAAAGCAATCCAACTCAGAGCTCACTAGGAAGCAGCACAGCAGAGACACCACTGCCACTGACGGAAGCAACAATGTTTTACTGCCAAGACTTCACAGCCACCACAGGATTTCACTAACGAACCAACCATTACCAACACCTTCCCCAACATTTGAGCCAACAACACACACCAACTGTTCAACAACACTGGCATCACGAGCGACCAACGAAACCAACTCCAGAGCCAACATTTGAGCTAAATCGGCTCTAACATCATCTCCCACAGCATCCAAATTCGAGCAGTGCAAGCACCCACTGTCAACCCTGATTCTCCGGGTGTCAATCCAACAATGCTAGTCCCACACTGGAACACCACAGTAAACCAGAAGTCCCTCATTGGCACAACCACAGTGGGCCCTGGCTTACACTGTCACCCCTGGTTTCCCCAGTGTCAGTCCAACGCTGCTAGTCCCACCATGGAACACCACAGTAACCCCAGGAAGTGCCTCAATGGCACCAACCACAGTGTCCCCTGGCTTCTCCCACTGTCACCCTTGTTCCAGTGTCAATCCGACTACTGCTAGTCCCACCAATGGAACCTACGACCCAGGAAGTCCTCATTGGCACCAACCACTGTGGGTCCCTGACTTCTACACCCACTGTCACCCCTGGTTCCCCAGTGTCAGTCAACTGCTGCTAGTCCACCACGAGAACCCTACGTTCCAGGAAATCCTCAATGGACCAACTGTGGTGGATATCTACACCACTGTCACCCCTGGTTCTCAGTGTCATCACTGCGGCTGTCCCACCGACACCTACAGTACCCCAGGAAGTTCCTATGGCACCACACTGGGTGTCCTGATATCTACACCACGTCACCCTGGTTCTCCCAGTGTCAATCCAACTGCGCTAGTCACACCGACACCTACAGTACCCGGAAGTCCTCATGGCACCAACCACAGTGGGTCCCATGGTTCTACACCCACTGTCACCCTTGGTTCCCCCAGTGTCAATCCGACTGCTAGTCCCACCAGGAACACCTACAGTAAACCCTGGAAGTCCCTCATTGGCACCAACCACGTGGGTCCCTGATTCTACACCCACTGTCACCCCTGGTTCCCCAGTGTCATCCAACTGCGCTAGTCCCACACGAGACCCTACAGTATCCCCAGGAATCCCTCATGGCACCAACCACTGTGGGTCCCTGTTTACACCCACCGTCACCCCTGTCCCCCAGTGTCAATCCAACTCGGCTAGTCCCACCAGGAACCCTACGTACCCCAGGAAGTCCTCATGGCACCAACCACAGTGGGTCCCATGGCTTCTACACCCACTGTCACCCCTGGTTCTTCCAGTATTAGCCCCACTTCTAGGAACCCTATGATGGGAATCCCAACAGTGGTCCCTGGTTCTCCTAGTTTGTCTCCCGCTACTGAGAGTCCTTCTAGTGGTAGTCCTTCTCCAACAGTTTGTGGGGTATCATTCATTTCTTTGGAGTCCACATACAACATTGGTTTCACTGGAGACATCACCTCTGTTGCAAATGCTTCACTAATCCAAGCATTCTCTGCTGCTTTTATGGCAGTTCAACAAGGCATGTTATGTCCATGGATAATAACAAATGTTGTGCTATCAAGCAGGCCTGATGGCTCTGTTGCAAGGGCAGGTGACCACTCTCTTTGGGGTGGCCGAATGTTACAGAGTTCTTATGCAAGATTTACAGTTACAGCAGACCAGGATGCTGGAAGCCGTCTGATTTTGCCTGCTGATGAAGCATTGTTCCTGGAACAATACACAGTCAGCCTTAACACAGCTGGAGTAAGTGCCATGTCACTGTCAGCAACAGGTGTCCCCTCATTGAGTCCCACTGGGATACCTTCCCTCAATCCTTCCACAAAACCATCAACCTTGCCATCAGGGTACCCAAGTGGACGTCCATCGGCAATTCCTTCAAGCAATCCTTCCAACATCCCTACAACCAGCCCAACATCATCACCTTCATCAATGCCAACCATGACACCAGGGCAGCCTTCTGTCAGCCCAAGTACTTCATCCCCTTCTGAGGTTCCATCAGGAATCCTGTCAATGGCCCAATCAAAAATCCCTATGTCTGTACCAACCAGCACTCCATCAGTTCAAACCTCGGGAAGTCCATCTAATATTCCTACAGGAATCCCTTCATCTTCACCTTCATCATCACCAACAGTTACCCCAGGCAATCCTTCAGCCAACCCAACCACAACGCCCCCATCAATGGGTCCGTCTAGAATCCCATCAATGCTTCCTTCCATGGTGCCATCCCAAATATCCAATTCCAGCCCATTCGTTGCACCATCAGGAATGCCCTCCTTGGTTCCATCGTCAGCTCCATCCGTGTTTCCAAGCAACACACCCTCAGTTTTGCCTTCTTATACCCCTTCTTACAAACCCTCAGAAATACCATCTTCATCACCATCATCCAAACCAACTGTCACACCAGGAAACCCCACTACTAGTCCAACCACATCTACTCCTTCCAACAGCCCTTCTACAAAACCATCATCAAGGCCATCAGATTCACAGCCCGCATCCATGCCTTCAGTAATTCCTTCTTGGATGCCTTCTGTAGGCCCCAGTCTTAGTACATCACCAAGTACAATCCCATCCTCAACACCTTCAACTAGTTCATCTCAAGGACCCAGCAGCTCCAGTGAAAATCCCAGTATGTTGCCTCCTGATAGTCCATCAGAAGTTCCATCCAAAGAGCCTAGCATCAGTCCATCAAAGACGCCAACTTCAAGCACAATCATTGGTCCATCAGAGTTCCCAACTATCAGCCCATCGGATTTGCCATCCTCACGTCCCTCTGTTGCCCCATCCAATGCTCCAACCCCAGGGTCCTCCAATGTGGCATCACTGACACCAAGCATCAGTCCATCTGATCTCCCTTCCATGCCCCCGAGCATCACACCTTCAAGCAAACCATCCTCAATACAAAGCAACCAACCATCTGATGTGCCGTCTATTACTCCAAGCTTGAGACCATCAGATGCACCTACAGCATCACCTGTTTCCAGCCCATCTAGCACGCCATCTATATCTCCCTCAGAGAAACCATCAGTGATTCCATCGGACCTGCCGTCTGTAGTCCCAAGCATCAGCCCTTCAAGCAAACCATCCTCAATACAAAGCAACCCACCATCTGATGTGCCATCTATTTCTCGACGCTTGAGACCATCAGATGCACCTTCAGCATTACCTGTTCCAGCCCATCTAGCACACCATCTATATCTCCCTCAGAGAACCATCAGTGATTCCATCGGACCTCCCGTCTGTAGTCCCAAGCATCAGCCCTTCAAGCAAACCATCCTTGATACAAAGCAACCACCATCTGATGTGCCGTCTATTACTCCAAGCTCAAGACCATCAGATGCACCTTCAGCATCACCTGTTTCCAGCCCATCTAGCACACCATCTGTATCTCCCTCAGTGGTACCATCAGTGATTCCATCGGACCTCCCGTCTGTAGTCCCAAGCATAAACCCTTCTAGCAAACCATCCTCAATACAAAGCAACCAACCATCTGATGTGCCGTCTATTACTCCAAGCTCAAGACCATCAAGTGCACCAGTCGAATCTCCTTCTCTCAGTCCATCAAATACACCATCTCTCCCTCCCTCAGAGATACCATCAGTAAGTCCATCCAACCTACCTTCTAAAGTACCAAGTATCAGCCCTTCTACAGTACCATCTAGTATCCCTTCTGTGGTACCATCAAACCTTCCAACCAAGGCGCCGGTCCCCACTGAGGAGCCATCCAAAGCCCCATCGCAAGCACCCAGCCTTTATCCCTCCAAGGCCCCATCGATAGCACCAACTACCTGGTACTGAGCCTTCGGCTGCTCCTTCGGAAGAGCCAAGACATATTGTGCTTCTGGATGGTCCCCGAAGTGGTCAATGCTTGTTTGGTGAAGATATATGGAAATTCTATCCAAAAGCTTGCGACCCCAATGATCCGGACCAATTGTACACATATGACCCAAGCACAGAGAGGATCTACATCGATGGATATCCTGGCCGTTGCCTTGACTACCGTTATGGCCAAATAGACAAGGAAGTGAATTCAGAACCATGTGACAATACAAATGCTCAAAAGTGGTACCGCGACGGATTGTATCTCCGCGAGAGACGTGCTGGCCGCTGCTTGACATGGGAGGACCCAAAACCAAGAGCTCGGCCGTGCGATGGCCGTGCTGGTCAGACTTGGGATGTTCCAAGCTACTGGTTTTGAGTTGCTTCCCAGATGTATACTATGGTTGCCTGTTGTGGCATGCAAGAGGGCGGAAGAATGCTGGTATGGTGAAATTGAACAAGAGTTGACCGGAGAAAGGCCAAGGTCTCTTTGGACGCGGAACACTTGGAAAGAAAGTCCATGTGCTTGGGTAGTATCATTTCTGAGGAAGTTGCGGTTGATTCGATTCCATGACAGAGCCGCTTGCTACCGTGTGAGAGAATGCCAGCAAGATTGTTTCCAACATGTGTCGAAATCTCGTTCAATCACAACATACATCATGTAGTAAAGTAATGCACGTTAAATAGTTCATAGATTATGAAGGGGTGTCAGGTATGGTACGGTATACTTGGACTTCTATCAGAAAAGCTGATCTTTTTGGACACCGGGGCAAACTCGAAAGTTTGAAACGATTTTCAGTCCACGACCTGCGCCCGGAGAGAGAGCAGTTGTGGCCCTGTCGAACGCATTCAATTGAGAGACAGTTTTCTCCCGTCGTCCAGTTTTCGTGCTCAAGGGTTTCCCAGCACGCTGTCGCACAATCCCATCACGACGTCGCGAATCTAATCCGTAAAATGTGTGCCGCAATCACTCATCCTTCTTCCAGCCACGACATGGTTGTTGTCGTCGTCGGTTCGAAAGAGTTCAGAGTCTCCCGTAATCAAATCTGCTCTTGCAGTGAGTTCTTCGGATCGGCTTATCATAATGGCTCGGACGAGGCCAAGGCTGGTAGGTTTGTGTTCAGTGATAGCTTGAACCGCCCGGAGGAATGGGAACTGGTTATGTCGCTTTTGCGTCCTTTTTCTCGGATTACGGAAGACAACTTCGCCACTGTGCTTCCATGGTTTTCCTTTCTTGGCATACATCAAGGCACGGAAGAATGCGACAAGTATCTCCATGCGAAGTTGTTGTCTCTGCCGACGACAACAGAATTGGGTGTGTTTCTCACTAATCTGCACACGTGCGTTCGATACGACCTCAACCGGAGTAAGGCGACGTGTTTGGGATACATCAAACCATTCCTGATGGCAGCAAACAGCCGTTCTTTGGACCAGCACCAGCTGGCAACCATATTGGACCTCGTTAAGCGCCATGACGACTGCCGCCAAAGCTGGTGGCCAGTTTTGGAGAAGCACATTTCCAAGCCATTTTCGGATCGAGCCAAACAGGATGTATTGATCGACACTGGCGCTCTTCAGCAATTAATCTTGCTCGACCTGAAGGGAGACGTTTCGGACGGCCCAAAGCGCTCCAAGAAGCGCACCGGGGATGCCTTGGAACAGGAGAGTCGCCTTGACAGTTCGATGTCTAAGAATCGCAGCGGCTCCAGTACTATCAACAGTGGCAAGGTCAATGATGGACGCGCTAGTCATACGCGCACCGTTTCCAACAAGAGTCGACGGGGTGAAAAGGTTTTGGAAGTGGATCAACTGAGTCATCAAAACGGTGCAGCAGATGCAACGAGCAGTCGCACTCGTATCAAGATGGAGGCGTAATGCAGCTCGAATCGATGATTGATCATTCAAAGAGCATCCTCAGCCAACCAAATTGGTGGGGAGATGAAAACAATCGCGACGGCGCAAGGACAAGCTTGGAATGTGGAAGCGGAACAAGGCGATAGCTACTAAAAAGGGAGATACAATGGTACCGATAATTTAGATAGGAGCTGATCACATTGCATTTTCAAGGCGATACTACTCAGCTCATTGCCACACAACACTGCTTGATATTATTCTGTTGATTTTGTCGTCGTGCGATTGTTCCAGTGGTTGAACTTGCCGCAAAACTCTAGACGATATGTCCGTTGTACCCTCCACTCGGGAGGTTGTTTTTGGCTACGATTCATCCACTGCGTCAGTCGTCTGGTCCTCTTTGGTTGATCCCAATGCATCAGACTTGAACCCATCTTTGCTGGAGGGGTCATGCTTTGGCTTGTCACCACCACCGAATGATGGAGAGTCTTCCCCCTCATTTTTGTCGTCGTCAAACGTTGCCTCTTGCTCCTCGTCGTCACTCGTCTGCTTGTCATCAGTGGATTGCTGTGTCTTTGGGAGGGGATTCTCCACGATGGCCGCTTCGGCAGCAGCGGCTTCCTCTTCAAAGTTGGCTTCCATATGTTCCTCCTGCATTTCAGGATATTCCTCTTCGAAGCTGGCCTCTGCTTCTTCGTTGTCACTTTCAGCTGTTGGGTTTGCGTTGGACTGATAAGAAGGTTCCTGACTGATGGCTCCTGTATCCGTGTTATTGTCTTGTGGCTTTGTTTCCTGTAACGCAGCGGAAGGCTGAGAATCCATCGGCATTGGCATGTCACCAGCAGCCAATTCGTCTTCTTCGTCATCAGCATATCGTTGTTCTATGATGCGTTGATCCAACTCTTTCAGCAGCTCTCCTGCCCTTTCCGGTCCACACAATTTCTCCATGTACTCCCGGCGGACGCTGTCTCTTGTGTTTTGCAGAAAGGCCTTGACTTCCTTTTTGGCTCCCAGCTGCTCGATTTTGAGGAGTACATCTTCAAAGTTCATGCTGGGAAACAAGTCGTCGCAGAATGTTTGGTACGCCTTCATGAGATTCTGGCAGTAGGATGCTGCTGCGTCAATGTCTCTCTTTTTGCCTTTTTTAGGTTTGTACTTGATGCGCTTCATTGCAGTGGGAATCTTGATCAAGCCATTATCGCCTGTTAGGTTGGACGCCAGCAATTGAGGACGAGGCTTTTTGATTTTCTTCTTTTCTTCTTGATCCAGCTCTTGTGCAATATCCTTTTCAGACTCGTCCGTTGTTTTGCGCTTGTTACTACTCGTAATAGTAGTCTTGCCTTCATCATCTTGGGCTTCGCCATGAAGCTCGGAAAGGGCTCGCTCTTCCTCTTCTTCTCGCAAACGCTCATTGATGGAATCATCATCGGAGTCATACAAACGACTGCTGGTCACACGAGTCTCGGAAAAGGAGACGCGACGAATGCCATCTTGTTGTCGACGAGCCGCAGCTAAACTTGTGCTGGGAGGACGATGAGGGGGCATGGTGGATACTACACGTACTAGCTAGTATTACTTTCACAACAGCACAAAGCTATACGGTACCGGTACATGTAAGTAGAAAGAAGTGGCGATGGACTGAATTGGAAGAGGACGATGATGTTCAGAGCTTGTTCAGCCGCCTCTCTCAGAGGGAAGGTTCGCGCCAAAACAACTTCAAAAAGAAGGCCGCCAATGACGCCGCTGCAGCTGGACGGACACTCAAGCCAGCAAGGCTATCAATAGGAGTGGTTGGTCGTGCCCTGACCGGTATCCCACCTTCCTCTCACCACCACCGGTACCGGTACCGGTAGGTATGGGTGTTAGCGGTGCCGGTACCGGTACAGGTTTGGAGGATCAAAAAAATGTTGCCATAGCCTTGCTCTCTCCGTGGGCTTGATGATCGATGCTGATCCAAGAATAACAATAGAGGTGTGACAAGAACATGTTGTAGCCGTTGTCTTTGTCTCTGCATCTGCCAGGCTACCTTACTCTACCGGTATCTATCTTCATCCAACTTGTGATCGTAGGAGGAGCTTTGACTCTATTACTATGCGCAAGTCAGACAGCTAAGGGAAGGGATGCTCGTTGTTATAGTAGATAAAGTACGTGTATGATATGGCTAATCAAACAAATTCTTGCCATCATTTGGCTTCCCGATCATGCATCGCCTGCTACCCACTCCTTCACCCATCCATCCTTCTTCACATACTATACATGTAGTAGCTCTTAGTCGTGTATATTGTATGTAGCTTACACTTTCAGCTTTCTTGCCACTCCATTTGAATAGATTCGTTGTGCTCGCTCTCTCAAGTTTGTGTTTGTTTCTGTATGTACGTGCATGCAGGAAAAGGTACTTTTCTCACCGCAGCCACCATGCCATCTCTCGACTAGACTGTTTATTGAGTACTTCCAATCATATAGCCCGTGTACGCACTGAAGAGATGCCAGAGGGAGTGCAGAAAGATGTACGTGATGCCTTCCTCCCAAACCCAGCATAAACCCAAAGAAACAATAGCAGCTGCTCCGCTCACAAAGATCTCTGGCGGAATGCTGTGAGCAAAGATTAGCTGCACGCTTCCTACAGCAATTGCCGACAAGGCAAAGAAATAATCCACCAAGAGGGCCAACCGAACAATGCGTGAACCTTCCTGTCCGAACTTCAGCTGGGAGTAGTGGTAGCCAAAGCTGGCGATGCAGGCCAACTCCGTCAGAGCGCCCAAGAAGGTATTGCCTTGAGCCACAAGGAGACTACCAGCCAGTCCATAAGCAATGTTTGTCGCCAAGAATGATATTCCAATCGGAGTGCTTTCTGTTTCGGGCTCCAAATTGGCATAAGATAGTGCCCATCCACCCGTTGTATCATCTAGCACATCGGAAATTGGGGCTACAAAGTCCTCAATGCTCTCGGTTCTCGTCACATCCGAGAAAAAGCTGGACAGAGAAACTTCAGCCGTCTCACCAGATAGTTTCAGCTGCGACTGTGCAGTATCCCGTTTGCCTTCCTGTTCGCTTGCTTTGTCGTTATTCCCGGGCCAGCTGATGAACAATGCAGTTTCAGGTCCACTTTTGTGGGTAGCGGACCATGGCTTGGGCAGAGGCAAAGCAGTTTGATAAGCGATTCTTGTCCCCGCATTCCTGGATTGCAAGGAGACTTGTCCAGAAGCTGTGAAAGCATTCGAATAACCAATGGAGGTAATAAGAAGCACAACCGCCGTAGTGTGGGCAAACCTTGTCTGCGCGGGAATCATTGTGGAAGTGGATTGAAAGCAAGTGCCTTTTGAACAACAATCAATCTGATCGGATACCAACTGTGAGCAGCTTCGAACTTGAATGGTATTTGTAAAATGGGTTCTTCTCTCTAGAAATCAGTGGTCCGGTAAGTGATGATTTCTTGTGGAGATCATGGAGTGTAATGCCTCCCGGAGAATGGAATCGAAATGAGGACCAATGGCCCAAGTGGCGTTTGGATTCTTCCCACCACGTCGCACCGCCGATCCAACGAATGCATGCTTCGGGGTTCGGGCAACGTGGATAAGCCGCCTCAGCCAGAAAGACAGACCTTCAGACGATCGTGCGGTTGGTCTTCCAGGTCCAGGCCGGACACCTAGGCTTCGATACGGTACCTGAAGCGCTACCGTATATGGCCCCAATGCATGGCAGCTCTGGAGCGTTCCTCAATCGTGCATGACTTATATCGAAAACCGACCCTAATTTTGGGTCGGATTTAGGGACGGATTCCCCTTTAGGGTCGGGTTTCGAAACCGACCCTAAAATTAGGGACGGATTCTGAAAAAACGTCCCTAATTAAGGGACGGGTTTCGATTTAGGGGCGGGTTTGAAAACCGTCCCTAAATGGAAGCGGGACTGAGTGGTAAATACATTGAAATCCGACCCTAAAATAGGGTCGGGTTTCGAAACCGACCCTAAAATTAGGGACGGATTCTGAAAAAACGTCCCTAATTTAGGGACGGGTTTCGATTTAGGGGCGGGTTTCAAAACCGACCCTATTGCTACATGGAATTAGGGTCGGATTTCAAAGATTTAGGGTCGGATTTGGGTCGGATTTAAAACTCACCCACGATTGAGGGACGCTCCTGGGTAATAGGAACGTCTCCGGGACCATCGCAAGGCATTTTGCACAAAGCTCAATTGACCCATCACCGGGACCGAAGCAACACAAAGAGTCGAGTGAGTGAGTCGAGTCCCTCACCATTGGCAATCAATAATTCCTAGATACCATTATGTCTGTCGTCGTCTGCCACTAGTTTTCTAGGAACTGCAAGGCATCGTCTACGCATCACCCCACCTCCTGAGACTGCCAGGGCCTGGCACATATCGCTACGATGGTGCAAGCAAACTACGAGTGGAAAATTGGAGCCAGTCGTAGTGCCTGGTGAATTCGTAGCATTTGCAGTACTTAACAAAGCTTCCAAAAATCCACAATACGGTACGCATTTAAAAGCTGTTCCAAGTTGGAGATACATGTATTCAATATGGAAGCACTAGCTCACCCTTCAACGAAAAACACTTGAGTTCTTGCAGAGTTGACTTGGATAATATCCAGTGCTTGATACTCTTCAAGACAAGTTTGTAGTTGCTGTGCTGTGAATCCCTTTCGCAGCACCATGGCTTCACATGTTTTGAGGGCAACCGATGTTGAGTTTTGAACTGTGGCGTAGTCACGGAGAATGTTGAAGATCCTAGAAGTTGCATCTTCTCCGCGTCCCCTCTTTCTTCCTCCGTTGTCTCCACCTTCGTCTTCGAGGCTAGCCTTGCTCATGTGGGTCAACCGAATGGCTTCATCCACGTCTTCTCGGGCAACATAGTCGGAAAAACGCAATCGCGCAAGTGCTTGACTGAGCCGGAGAATGGACAAGAGCTGACGAGCCGTCATAACAGTCTGGTCTCCTCCGACGGTGGTCTTTTTGGCCCCGGGACGATCTTGCATGCGCAAGGTTACATACGCCTCCACAACATACGGAGCCACATCTTGTGGTACGACTGGTTGATGCTTTCTGGCTCTTGCAATGTATTCTCGTAGTACACGTGGTGCCAAAGGCTTGTCTGCATTCTCTCCCCCTTCGTCGTCATCACCATCGTCCGCTGCATTGTCACTAGCATCTGTAGGTTGTTGTTTGTCTTTATTGTTTGTCTCCTCCACTCCTTCGTTTTGATGCACAAGCGTAACGTGCCTGGCCAAGGCTGTGTCACGATCCACATCAGCGATATCCAGCACGAGGAAGAGTAAATCAAATCGACTCAACAAAGAGTTTGGTAAGTTCACATTTTCAGACAAAGATTTGTGACGATTGTATCTCGAGTAAAGAGGGTTGGCCGCCGCAAGGACTGCTGCGCGAGCATTGAGTGTGGCCACAATTCCTGCTTTGGCGATACTGACTGTTTGCTGCTCCATGACCTCGTGGATGGCAGTCCTATCGGATTCGTCCTTTGGTGTCAAAAAGAGCAGTTAGAGAATCAGTTCCACAGTCGTAGCTAGCATGACATTTGAGCAGTAAAGTGAAAACATACCATCTTGTCAAATTCTACAGGTTTTGCCGAATCCCATGCAAAACGAGAAAACAATCAGTAAGCAACAAAGGCAAACATGATGAGAGCAATGAAAGTGACCATTAAAAAAAACAAGTCTGATCAAACCAAAAGAAGCCTACCATCAATGCAACAAATTCCCTGGGAAAAACAATCAAGTTTTGAGATACATTCTTTCTCAAGAAAACCACAAAGACCCCAAATGAGCTTACCCGATCAGCCAGGACTAGGGCTCCGCCCTCCAAGGCCATTTCACCGGTGGTTGTATCCTTGGTCACGGCAGCTGTCAGACCAACACCCGAAGAACCCTTCCCTGTGGTGTAGACACCCCGCGGCGCAATGCTTGCAACATGTTTGAGCAGCTGCGACTTGGCCACTCCAGGATCCCCCATAAGGCAAACGTTGATGTCTCCTCTGATTTTGAGACCATCCGGCAGTGACCGAGTACATCCTCCCACAAGTTGCAGCAAGAGAGCTCGTTTGATATCTTCATGCCCAAAGATCTCGGGAGCAAGGGACGAGGAGAGTTTTCCGACTGGATCTTCGCCCGTGGCAATCGTCATGATTTCTGCATCGAGTTTGGCACTCTCTTCGTCAGAGAGTGAATCGAGGAGGGATTCATCGTAAGATTTTTTGTGGACAATGATATTTTGACTTTCCAGGTACGTAGTGGAGATCAATCCTGCCTTGATGGCAGCAAATCCACTTTCCGCGAGTTTTCGTGGCAAAAAGATGCCATCAATGGTCACGACGTCTCCCGGCGTCGCCATTCTGGTCAATTCTCCCCGACAGTAGACACTCATGCTTCTGGGGACGTGTCCAATGGGTACTTGACTTGGCAATTCTTGTATCTTTAGTTCCTGGAACTTGACGAATTTGGAGCCTCGAGTTTGGAGGTGCAGGGTATCCCCACCACCCCGTCTCGTTCGACATTCTTCGGACGGACAAGACCGTTGTGGCATGAATTCTCTCTGGTTGGCAATGACTTGGTATACTTCACAGCCACAGGCATCGCAATAATATGTGGCGACCGCGCAAAAGGGTTTGACATCGGACGTGCGCACAATCATTCCTCGTACAGCGACAATTTTGCCCATGGATCTGGATCGGATATCCCGAAGAGACAGCCCCATATTGCTGTTATTGTAGGGTGAATTGTGTTTGGAGATCCATTGATTGGTAAAGGGGAAACAAACGCCTCGTCTTCCCACGGGAAGGATTCGAATTTCGTAACGTCGCATGAGATCCGGTGGGAATTCTTCCGTGGCTCCGCTAATATCGGCGCTATTGGCAGCGTTGTTGATTTGAGCTTGATCATTCAGAATTCCGCCCCCTCCATCCTGTTGTTGCTGCTGTTGCTCAGCCCGTGCCTGCTGGGATGCTTGTTGTTGTGCAATTCTCTGTTCGGCCAGAACGTCAATGGTATCCCGTTGACGATGAATGTTGGCATTGGGTGATTCCTCCATTCCCTTGAGCGCTTCATCAATCACCTTGGCAAAGACTTCCTGGTATCGATTTGCATTGTTGGTGGCCCGTTCCGCTAGATCACCTCCCTTGACACTGTCCCAGGCAATCAGTTCGGAAAGTGGAATTTCAATGATAAAGGTTCCCACTTTGTCCTCTAGATAATGTCGATCCTTGATGCGCTGTAGCAGCGGCAGATAACAAGGATTGCGAACCATACCGTGGGACACACCATCGGCAGTGGGTTCCATGAGGACATCGTCGTCATCGCTGTCATCGTTTCTCGCAGATGCCAAGGTCAATATAGTATGCTCTCGCAGAAACGAGGCAAAGATTTCTGGAAAGCGAAAAGGAAATCGTGTTGGTTGGTTGAGATAACTTTGCTAAAAAAGACATCATTAACCAAGTATGGTGGCTAGGATGGATTCATATGGCTCTTACCTTCATCTTTGTCATATCTTGGAAAGTTGCTGCTGCTGAAGAGGGGATCTGCCGTCGCTTGGGTATCTTGGGTCGCCATGGTTGACTAACTAACTATCAGCACACGAAACAAAATAATTGACTGAAGGACGTCCGAGTGGGCAAGTGGGATGCGGGCCAAAGTTTGCGGCCTCATTCGTGTGTCATTGGTTGGAAGGCGGAAGCGCCAAACGCAGGACGACCCCAAGGTTGGCAACCAGGATACCAGGATGCTACATACTCATCGGTACCGTAGTCGTCAAGGCACCGAGGCTCATCAGTACAGTTTAACTGTTTATGATTACCGGTACTGTAGCTCATCTGGCATACTAGTCTAGCATACCAGTAATAGATAAGCTCCGTAGGCAGTGAGATATCAACAAGCTTGAGGATGTTCTTGTGGGAGAAAATGCATCGTCATCATCTTAGAATCAGAAAAGCCTTGATCAGGCAGAAGCAAACGCAGCAATTCAAAAAGGACGTGCCTCTCCTGCCTGTGATAATCTTTAGAAATTGCTTCATCTGATTGATTCCCTGCTTCCGGCAAGGAAAGCTGGTTCATACTGATTGATATGAAGCAGGCGTACCGGAATGGAAGAGGATGTTTTGCTAAATTTCCTTGGGTATCTACCATACAATCTAGCTAGCTAGCTGGTATTTCCCGTACCGGTAGCACAGCGTTCGTTAGCGTACAGTGGCAAATTTGTGGGCTCATCTAACCGTTGGCTTCACCAATCGAGCGGATGCCAATTTTTGGCATTTTTGCCGCTTTTTCGTGCCGATTGAAGCCATCTCATGATCCAATCATTCGGAAGGCAACCAACTCAAAGCGAATGTCCACGCCGATGGGAATAATAGAAAGAGCACCTTGTTGCCACAATACGGAGTAGTAATATTCAAAAATGAGGGAAGAACAACTGCAACGACAACAACAACAACTGCAACATGCAAGAGAGGATGTCATCACTGTGAAAGACTCAGTCTGGGAAAAGTTAAGAGATGACCTGTTGACTGCTGTCCCTGAGCTGAACGAAATTGGAGGTCAAAGTCTTCGGAACGTGTATGCAGCGGGCGTTTCCGATGGACGAGTCCTCCGGAGTTTGGCTGCCCTCTCATTGCCCAAGAGCGGGGAGGCACAGACCAACTATGATCATCATATTCTCACCCTGGCCAGGGCTCTTGCGGCTGCCTCCGTGAAACCAACCGCCAAGTTGGCTATCGTGAAGACAATCATGACATTGAGATCACCACGAGAGGCGGGATGGCAATTGCTAGAAGGCGTCATTGCGGACACGCTCCAATTCATCACCGACAGAGACTATTTGTGGGAATACTTGGATCACTCCGATGAGGTTTTGCTCTGGGAACTCCGGGCCATTTGTTTGTCTCGTCACCAACAACATCGAAGTGACGAAATATTAGACCGAGTGGTCGACACGGGAAATGCCGCAGCTACCTTTCTGTCCAGACAGGCATTAGTAGTTGAAAAGGGGTTTGCCATTTCCACTGACGTCCTCAGTGCTGGAATTGAAGCATCGGGAGAACGACTCAAGCAAGTCATTGAACCCGATGACAGGTCGTTATTTGAACCCAATTCCAGAGCCAAAGTAATCAGCTTGACATACACGGACGCTGCCAAACGAGCCACAGACAGTGTGCGAATAACATCCCGACAAGCCATGACAAAAGTGCAAAATTCCTCCACCAAGGGAATCCAGAATATTGCCGAGCGAGGACCACGTCTCATTCCCAATTCCAAAAGTAGAAAAGTTGTCTGCGCGGCGGGAAGGTTTGGAACGGCGGCGGTGGGTGCCACTGCGCTTGTGGCAGATGCGCTCCTCGAATCCACGGGACAAGTGGCCAAAAAGACGGCCGAAGTCACCGCAGATGTCGTCCGACACAAGTATGGATCATCCGCCGGTCAGGTTGTCCGGAACTGTAGCGACACGGTTGGTAACTGTCTCAGGACGTGTGGTCATGTGGCGCTGCTTCATACGGGCAAGGGCATGACAAGAACTGTCGCAAGGAAGACTGGAAAGATGCATGTCAAGTCATATGTGGACGAAGAATTGGAAGGAGATGCACCCTCGTCGGATGGAAGTTTGTTTGACGAGGCAGAGGGAGAAATGCACGACATTACCGCTACCCAGGATGAAGCAAGTCCATGGCAGCATTTTGCTGAGGAACCCACCTCTCGTTTGGATGACAGTGAAACAACAAACGAAACCGATTCCTATGAAAGAGTTGGTGGCGATATCATGCTCGTGGAAGGAAACAACATTTTGGAGTTTGATACAACACTGACACTCTCGCCATCTGTTCTAGACTCCCTACCAGATCAAATCACCAGCGTGGACGCTCAAAGTGACTTTTTCAGTGATATCACGAACGAGCCTCTCTACGAGCGAGCATTTCCTGATTTATCAATCATCCACAAAGGATCGACGACACACAGCAGCATCTTTCGAAATGTAGACAACGAGTCAACGGGGGGTGAGCTGACGCCAATCAAATGCCTCTCAGACGATGAAGGTACTGACTACACGGCTTGCACTGTCGATGAAACCTACGTGACAAACATCTCCTTGGACACATCCAAGAGCATGGATCACACAGAAGACGTGGTATATTCGGTTTATGACCATGATGTTGTTGCAGCAAAGCCAGTGGGATCTCCCATTCGTCGTTCTCTGGCTTCACGAGTGCCTCCGAATGGTGGTTATGTGCCATCTAGTTATGAAGAGACAAAGAAATGCTCTTGGCGGAAAGGAATCTATTCGTCGGTCAAGTCCAACTTTGGCTTGTGAGCGAATCACACCATAGCTAGGTTGTAACGATTAGGAGGTTTGCATATACATGGACCGTATTGCGCCTTGCTTGTAGCGCAGTCACTGATAGATTATCTTTCAGACTGTTTTTGGAATGCCAACATCCATCCATGGAGAGTGGCACAGCTGGCTTTAAAGGAGGAGATACGGTACAGTAGGTTGAAACCATTTTGAGAGACTTTTCCTGTGGTTTGAGCTTGTTTGGCTCTTTGGCTCGGCTCTGACCCCTCTCCAAACCCTTCTTCGGACCCGACTCAGATTTTTCAGCTCGCTGGCTTGAACGGTATCTTTGCTGTCAGCGAAGAGCGAGGATCTTCGTGCTTCTTCGGATCACGATCACAAATCCATGAGACCGTTGATCAACAGAAGACTCTTGTCGCTTTCGACGAGGTTTCATCGTGCTCCAGTTCCATTAATCCGCAATCCCTGCCATTATCTTTCCACCATGACAGCAGAGGCCAAAGCTTTCTGCGAGGAGTTTAATCGCAAATATGAGGAAGCCCACAAAAGCTTTGAAGATCAATTCTGGGGTACCAAGATGGCGCTGAAGGATGCCAATTTCAACGCTGAAAACCTGAGTCGTACCAAAAAAGAAATGGAGGACATCCTCAGCGACCCTGCAGCGCTTGCCAAGGCAGAAGAGCTCCGGAAGCAAACGGATGATGAGCAGGTAGCCAAGGTGCTCGATATCATTATCCGAGCCTGTCATTGCTACTCCATGCCTCCAGAGGCGAAAGATATCCGTGAAGCAACATCCGCGTTGGAGAGCAACCTCGAAATGGCACGCAACGGTATGAAGCTTGGCTACAAGGCTGGCGATGGAAATTTTGTCGAAGCCTCTTCGGTGGCTCTTCGCAACAAGATCTCTACCGAAGCGGACGAATCCATCCGAAAGGCTGCCTATGAAGGGCTTCGCTCGATTGGACCTTTTGTTTTGGGTCAGTATTCTCCCTGTTTGCTACCATTTAGCGTTTTATCGCATTCTTTTTGTGGCAGCAAACCATGCTCACGACATTTCTTGTTTTTCGTCTTGTGGTACCATCATTTTTCCAGACAATGGCTTTATTGAAATCATTAAGAAACGCAATCAAATGGCCAAAAAGCTTGGTTACATTGACTATTACGACTACAAAGTCACCCAGGCTGAGGGATTTGGAAAGCCAAGACTGTTTGAGATGCTTGACGACCTGGAACAAGGAACGCGTCCCATCCTGAAGGAAGCCAGAGAGGAATTTGCTCGACGATTTGGGGATGATGCCCTCCTGCCTTGGAACATGTCCTACAAAATGAAAGGTAACATTGTAGCCAAAATGGATCCATACTTCCCATTCGGAATGGCTGTCGAGAGATATGTCCGTTCGTATTCGGCAATGGGAATCACCTATGAAGGAGCTACGATGAACTTGGATCTCCTGGATCGAAAAAACAAGTACTCGAATGGGTTCTGCCATTGGCCGGCATGTGCTTGGGTCAAACCAGATGGCACATTTCAACCGTCGACAACCAACTTTACCAGCCTCGCTGACCCTACCGCGATCGGATCTGGCTTGAATGCCTTGAGGACGCTCATGCACGAAGCAGGTCATGCGGCGCATTTCGCCAACATCAAGCAACCTAGCCCTCTCTTCAGCCAAGAGCGAGCTCCCACTTCTGTTGCGTACGCGGAGAATCAAAGCATGTTCCTGGATTCTCTGGTCGAGGATGCTGCATGGCGGGCCAAATATGCTCGTGACAAGTCGGGCACTGTCATCCCCTTTGAAATTCTCGAAGAGGACATTCGGGCTTCTCACCCTTTTGCAGTCTTTGCACTCCGTGGGATGTTGTCCGTGAGCTACTTTGAGAAGGCCCTATATGAGTTGCCAGAAGAAGAGGTCACGAAGGAGAACATTTTGGCTCTTGCCGACAAGATTGAATTGGAGGTTCAGGGCGGACCAACAGCCCGTCCATTGCTCTCTATCCCCCATCTTGTCAGCGACGAAGCAAGGTACGTTCGGTGTCACCGGCATCGTCCGAAACTTCTTTATCGTGGGTGAAAGGGCAACTCAACACTCGATGCTCTGCTTTCTTGTTGAAAATGTTTAAATCGCTCCCTTGACAGCTGCTACTACCACGGTTACACGCTGGCAGAGATGAGTGTCTATCAAACCCGCGAATTCTTCCTCGAAAAGTACGGTTACATCGTGGACAACCCCGAGGTTGGCCCAACCCTCCGCAAAGCATACTGGGAATGTGGCAACTCTAAGCCCTTTTTGACAATTGTAAAGGTAAGTGTCGCCCATCCCTTCTGAAACTTCTTGTTTCAATCTTTGCACCTTCTGGTTGGATGCAAACTCATGTTTGATGCTCTTGTCGGAAATGGTTGCTATCCTGAATGAAAAGGACTTGACGGGTAAGGAGCTTGTTGGCACAGCGTGGGTGAATCATCTCAAGGAGAACGTTGATGACAAGGTGAAACGCGCAAAGAAGGAGTTTGAGGAAGCAACCCCAGTAGCCGAAACATCTGTGGATCTGAACATGACGGTGCGATTCGTGGATGGAGATGAGTTGATTGCTGATTCGTCGTCTGAAGGAGGCATTCTGGAGGCATGCAAGAAGTTTGAACAATTCGTCGCAAAGAGAGTCGCTGCAGCTTAAAAAGAATGCTCGTTTTCACCAAAGCTATAGTGCATCGGTAACAGTAGCCAGGAGCAGGACCCGAGTGTTCTGGCTATTTTAACCAAGAGAATACTCGTATTCAAGAGCAGGAATTGTTGAATGTAGGGAAACGCCTTGTAGTACTCTACCTACCGTACACCGTACCGAATGGTACTGGTAATGCTGGTTGAGTGTTGGGGCTTCTCTGGATGGGGTGTCTGTTGTCTTGGCGAAAGATGGTTGTCAACCGGGGATCAATCTTCCACCAGTCCACCATACTGCAGCCTAGACTTTTGATTTGAATTAGCCGTCCAAAGATCTCTCGCTGTAATAGTTTCTGGTCTCAACCAAAGCACATACCGGTACCGGTATGGGAAAAGCTCAGACAAAGCCAATCCACCATCATGACCTGGGGTCAGAAATCAAAAACCAAGGGAAGCTTGCAAGAGGAAGAACTCTCACGAGCAGCCATTGCCGGCTGTCGTTCCTATGGTACCGGTACCGGTGGTCCGGTACCGGTACCAGGTACTTAGAGCAGTCACTAAAAATATAGGTCGCACTATTGGTCGTTCCCAAATAGATACCTATCTGGTCGACCCAAACGGCGACCTTTTTCATTCACTAAAATTGGGTCGCCATATCGGTCGACTGATACCTAATTGACCAATTCAATCACTAAAATTTCGGTTGCAACATAGGTCGCCGAAACGGTCGTTCGTTCCGTGGAAACTTTCGCTCGAGCTCATTTCGCTCACTCATCAGTGTGCTTTATTGATTGCTTTGGTTGCTTTGGTTGCTTTGGTTGCTTTGGTTTGACAATGAAGACTGCAGGAGCTAAGGGAAAGGGAGATGGCTTTGTGGAGAAGCACAACAAGGCCGAGGATTCCATTTTGGCCCGGGCCTTCCGCAAAACCACAACAAACCTTGTCAAAGGTGCCAAAGAAAAAGGAGATGTGTTTTGGGGGAATTTGTGTTTGAACTACAATGCAATCCGACAGGAAGAAGATCCCCAATTGACTGCGAGGAACCAGAAATCATGCCAGAACCGTTGGTCTCGGCACATGTTGCCTTGTATGAACCACTTCATTGGTTGCTGGCGCTTTGCCTAGTTGCCCCAGAGGTGAGTTCGTCCCAATCCTCTTCCTCTTTCAGCGAGCTCTTTGAGCTGCTACGGCTCATTGCTACTTCTTCCATGGGATATCCTTGTTGGCAGGTATTGCTATGCCTGTTGCTATGCCTGTTGCTATGCCTGTTGATGAGGCTTTTGTGTGTTGATGTGGCTACAACCAAAACAGCGACCTGGTCGATCCACTGGTCGCAAAGTGACCTTGAATCGACCAGTGGAACGACCGGTCGATTTCGGTCGCAACCTAAACCTCGACCGAAATGAGTTAGTGACTGAATAGGTTTCGATTTGGGTTCCAGCTAAAAACCAATCGACCAATATTGGGTGCGACCTATTTTTTAGTGACTGCTCTTATTACGGGTCCAAAATCTAAAGATCGGTCTGGTGCATTTAGTTCTAACCCAAAGAACATTTATTTGATCCAGTCACGGAGAAATAAGACTGATTGGCTTGCGCGGCCACTCCAACCATCCAAAATGGTCTCTGGGCAGACTATCCACAGACTCCAACGCTGCAAAAGTGCAACAAGTTGGATCTCAGTACAAAGCTGCGTAGAAATCTCTGTAGAAGGAGGCATTCTGGACTTCACCTCCTCAGAGATTGTTGGAAACCTCGATCGTCGTTCACTTCTCAAATTCTTGAGGTTTCGAAACATCCATCAGCATTGCCGTCGACCATGGCGGACGACTCGGAAGAAGAGTTCACGATGGAGGATAACGAGAAAAAGAAGAAGAAACCTAAGCTAAAGGTGAAGCTAAGCAAATCAAGCGCCAAACCGGACGCCGCGTCTTCCTCTTCCTCTAAACGGAAGAAATCCGGAGACAATGGCGCCAAGCCGGCTGCGAAGAAAGCTAAGACGAATGGCGGCAAGCCGAAGAAGGGTGCACTGAAAGAGCTCGATAAGACAGGTAATTGTGTGGGTTGTATTGGGCGGTAAAACCTGGAAATGCTGACACGTCGCCTTTTCCTGCATCTCCGCGCCCAGAACGCTTAGCTTTCGCCATGCAGGTGAGTGCAGCAATTTTGGCACAGTGGCATCCTCATTGATTCGATTCAGCCCCTCACTGACCGTTTTTAGAGTTTTTTGTGGTGGGATGCAGATGAACCTCCTCCAGGCTGCCAATGGCGTACGATGGAACATGCAGGTTGTTCTTGTTATCTACAACTCGGTTCTTTCAAAGTTAACTTGTGTTGCTAATTCTGCTAGTTCTGCCAATTTACAGGAGTGGCCTTCCCTGAAACATACGAGCCTCACGGTATTAAAATGAAGTACGATGGTAAAGAGGTTGATCTCACGCCTGCGCAAGAAGAGGCGTAAGTGCTGATAACGGGTGTATATTTGTGTGTAACTGAAGTAGGCGCTTACCTCATGGAACGGAATATCTTTTGCTTCGTGGTTTTATCTATGCATGATAGGGCTACTTTCTTTGCCGCCATGGACCCGGATGGTATGCACTTGGGCAACCCCAAGACTGCCAAGATCTTTATCAGGAACTTCTTTGATGATTTCAAGACCGTCTTGGGCAAGAAGCATGTCATCAAGTCCTTTGATAAGTGTGACTTTGAGCCCATCCGTCAGCACTTGAATGAGCAAAAGATCATCCGCAAGGCAATTTCGGACCAAGAAAAGAAGGCTAACAAGGAGGACAGAAACAAGGTCATGTTCAAGGTAAAGGCAACGTGATGAGCTGAGCTCTGCGGTTGCAGCCATGTCTAACCATTCGATATATTTGCCACCTTTTCCTTTTCCCTCAAGTTTGGGTATTCCCTTGTGGATGGGCACATCGAGAAAGTGGGAAACTACAATATGGTAATTTCCCGATGTTCTTCTATCAGTATACAAAGAGGAATCTGAACTCAACCCTCTAACTCTCCCTGCTGTACCTGTAGGAACCACCAGGAGCCTTCCGTGGCCGAGGAGAGCATCCCAAGATGGGGAAACTCAAGTCTCGCGTTCTACCCGAACAAGTTTCGTTGAATGTCTCTCAGTGTGCTGCAGTTCCTATCTGCCCTGTTCCTGGACACGCTTGGAAAGACGTGAGGCATGATCCTCGTGGACAGTGGCTCGCCACGTGGAAAGAGAACATCAACAATCAGAGCAAGTACATGCAGTTGGCTGCTCAGTCCTCGTTCAAGGGCAAGTCGGATCGTTCCAAGTACAACAAGGCAGCGTTGCTCTGCAAGAACATTGACAAGATCCGCAAGTCTTACAAGAAGGATCTCAAGTCGAAGGACAAGGAGACCAAGCAACTTGCAACGGCCACTTGGGTGATTGATCGGCTGGCCCTTCGTGTCGGCGGAGAGAAGGATACTGATGAGGAAGCTGACACAGTCGGTTGCTGCTCCCTTCGTGTGGAGCATCTCCACATTGACCCGAACGAAGAGGGGGGAGACAACAAGGAGATTGAGTTGGAGTTCCTCGGTAAGGACTCAATGCTCTTCAAGCAAACCATTGATTTTGGTTCCCAGCTTTACAACGAGAACTCCGGCATGGGGAGTCAAGTCTACGAGAACCTCAAGAAGTTCTGCAAGGGAAAGAAGAAGACTGGTACGTCCTTCAAGAGATGTATGCTGCACACTGCCCCTTCTCTCATCGTGTGGTTTTGTGGTTCTTAGAGGAGATTTTTGATTCAATCAATCCCACGATGCTGAACAACCACCTGAAGCAATTCATGGACGGTTTGAGTGCGAAGGTATGGCAGAATGAGTGTACCTTGCTGTAGATATCCCTACGAGGCTTTTGTCTGGTGGACTGCTAATTAATTCCTTTGCTTCATCAATCAGGTGTTCCGTACTTACAATGCATCCAAGACTCTCCAGGAAGAGTTGCGCAAGAAGGAAAAACTGGCAGGCTGGAGCAGGCTTAGCCCGGCTGAGAAAGTGATCGAGTACAACAACGCCAATCGTGAAGTCGCCATCCTCTGTAATCACCAGCGTTCTGTCAGTAAAGCACAAGAAACCCAATTGGAGAATATCTCGAATAAGATAGACACGTTGAAGAAGCAGAAAAAGATGCTAAAAGGAATCCTCAAGTTCTTGAACTCAGGGAAGGACAACAAGAAAATCCCTCTCAAAAAGTCGCAGGCTTCCATGAAGGAGGATGTCGATAAGGCATTGGCAAAGGCCAAGAAGATGAAGGACAAGGCTTCGACCAACGAAGAGAAGATCGCGGCCACGCAGGCAGACGAGAAAGCCAAGGAAATGCGCCGCGAGCTAGCGGACTTCAAGTTCACTCAGGCGCACTTGTGGGAGCGAGTTCCCTCCAAGGACCAGGTGATCAAGCGAATCGAGACTTGGAATGGAAAGATCTCAAAGATGGAAATGGATTTGAAGCACAAAGACGACAACAAGGAGGTGTCATTGGGAACATCCAAGGTATGTTTGGGCGAAATTTGGATTTATTGCTTGGCTGATCTGAGTCTCTCAACCTGTCGTTTTCTTCCTCTTAGATCAACTACATGGATCCCCGTATCACGGTTGCTTGGTGCAAGCGCAATGAAGTCCCCATTGAACGTGTCTTCTCAAAGACCCTTCGTGACAAGTTCAACTGGGCGATGGCTGTTCCCCCTGCATGGGAGTTCAGTGCGGAGATCGGCTTGATGGGCTAGTTATAGTTTGTCGCTTCAGATGCACACAAAGTACTAGTACTCAGTAGTAAGAGAGAGGGGTGAGGGCTTCTCTGTGATCTCGTCAGAATAATCATTCGTCAGAACATTAACAAAACATCGGATTCCGTAGAAGAAAATATAATAAGTGGTCTCTGTTTGGTACCGTACCGTTACTACAGCAGCATTAGAAAGAGCAGCTATCAGCTAGCTAGCTTAATATTTAAGGTTAGAGAGGCACTGGCTGGGCAGAAGACACGAGATAGGGTGGCGGTCTCGCATCCTTGCAGCACTACATTTGGCACCTTTGCAGCAAAAGGACTCGACTTTGACTTAAATTCTCGATACTACCGTATTGTACCGGTACCTCTAAAGGAGAGAGGAATTGCTTCGTCCTCTACTAGTAGTAACGAAGCAAGTACAAAGAACTCCATGTTTGCAAAGCAAAAACTGTGTCCAATCCAGATTCGATTCATGATAACGTTAGAACAGTGAGAGATACGCTATGTTGGACTTCCGTTAATGATAGTTGTTGTCATTTTTTTGTGTGTTTTTCCTTTTCAAAAAGTTCAGTTCATTCATACCGCAGTCAAAATTACCGTAGGACAACTAGCCTTGCAATCAATCAATATTTTTTGTAGAAGACGATGATCCTGCATTACACAACAGCACTAAAGCGTGTACTTGGCTCTTCAGAGCTGGATATTGAATTGGTAGTTCTAATGGGGGGAACCAATAGAACACATGTAGTTGAGTATTCCAAAAAATCTCAACTTCATGCAAGACAGGGGGAATAAGATCGAGCGTCATTTCTCGGTTGACGGACAGGCAACGGACGATGGTCAGAAAAATTAAAAAGATCGCACGTGTAGACTTTCAGCGGCGCGCAACAGTGCGAAAGACATAGTTTTGGGTCATTCTTGACACGCTGTTTTTCACTTTTATAGAGAGAGTAGCACACCCCCAGAATCCCCACACAGAATTCTCCTTCTTAAGATGTTCACCCCCTGTCAACTTCATTTTGACGGTGAACGACGGACAGACGCTCGTGATCGATCTTATTCGCCCTGACTTAAGTGACACATATTGAAGGAGTTATGAGCAGTTGAAGATTTGAGCTTATCTGACAATGAGTTCTTTTCACCAGCTTATTAAAACTTTGCATTAGTCAACTACGTAGGATCCTATGTTCGGGAATCATGTAAGATCCTACGTGTACCATAGGAAGCACCACTATTGCTCTGGTACTGAAATTATGTAGGATTCTACGTACGTACCTCTATCAATTACAATAGTCTTAATAAATCTTCAGTCCGTCTGAAAACGCTATTTACTCTATCATAGGAGACAATTGACGGCCATGGAAAGTTCTGGCGTGACTATGGTCAACCGCTGCAGTGGCTACGAACGACCCGCAGGGTTCCCGTGCAGGAACGCTGCGCAATAAATAACTCGAAGCATAGAAACGGATCGCACTTAGAAAACCCAAACCCTATGTAAATGTTCTTCATTCTGCTGAATACTATATATGCGACACTATGTGTATAAAATCCATGAGGTAATGACAATAAAAATAAGGGCGTATGGCAAAGAAACCCAAAGAGACACAACAAAAGCAAACAGGAGCAAAAGCTATAATATTATGGCAGTCTTGAAATCAGGCCAAGCGATGCTTCAATTCAGCAAAAGGGGAATCATCTTCCTTGCTGTCAATATCTTCCTAACCGGCACTGGGATTAACAGGAGCATGATGGGGTGTTCTGTTACCTTGGAAGAGCTCTAAATTATCATCAATAGATTGCCCAGCAGGAGTCCCTCCTTCCCTGGTGTCACCAGGTGTTTCTTCACCGCCGTCGTTGTCTTCGGCTTCGTCGTCATTGATTGCCTCAACATTGATATCATCGCCAGCTTCATCCATGTTGTTGACTTCTATTATGATGTCCACCTCTTTCTCGAAATACTTGACGCTTCTTGTACTAATGCATGGCATAGACTGAAGCCATATCGTCCTTCCAAGAGAGGCAAGGCGTGATGAACCATCTCAGTTTTACACCTGTGGACAGCCTCCTGAAGGAATGCAGGATAGGTGAGGAACTTGACATCTTTCATCATGATGACAATGTAAAACTTGACCGAAGTCGAACAAATTTCTAATGTGTCGATGAATTTCTGCAAGAGCATACGAATATAATCCAAGAAGAAAGAGACTATGCTGACCAACCATTCGGTCTTGTCTTTGGTGGTCTTGAAGTCAGCATGGGAAATTGCGAAAGAGGTAGCACGAAGGTTATTATCAAATCTAAGGCCCTTGGTACCATTCTTGCGTTCCTTTGTCTTCTCTGTCTTAGCATGTTTGATACCATTGCCCTTTGGATGGCATTTGTTTTTGTCTGCTCAATAGCTGAGGTTTACAGTTCGTATCCTTTTAAAATTAAACGATAAGGAAACAAATAGTGTTGGACGGTACGCGTCCTATGGAGTTATGCAACAAAATATTGTTATTATTATAGACTGGAAGTCAGGTCATTACGGCCACTTCTTCAGTAAGACTAGCAGATGAACAGTTGTGTGTAATGCTTCTCTAGATGTAGCTACTTCCAACATCTTACTGAAGAAGCCGGTGCCTTGTGAAGAGTCTCCCATGGTATCGAGAAGAAAGAATGGGGGGTGGAAGCAGCCTCTGAAAGGTTGTGGAGAGGGAAGGAGAATCCCATGAAGTTGAGGTGTCAAGAAAATATCATTGGTCATGATGGACCGGGGTTTGTCCAATAGCACAAGGCAGATTGGATGAACCACAAGAGAGCCACATGAGGAAGAACTGTAGTGGTTGTGGAGTGGACCGGCAAGACAGTGAGCCAGAGAACAAGCTGCAGAGTCAAGAAGACAGAATGGATATCACTAGCAGAATAGGTAGAGTGACCACCATGAAAGAGCTATAGACAAATGCTGCCCTTACAAGGGAGGAATGAATTACAGGCGTGCTTGGACCACATCGGATACAAAGAGAGGACGCTCTCATCGAAGCACAACAAGGAACCTGTCCCGGTTGAAGAGACCTATCAGCTGAAGCCTTGAAGCTGAAGGAAAAGGTCATTAAGAGATCTTACCATGGTGCGGCATAGAACCGGTATGCAGCGAAAGCAGTTGTTGGAGGAAACATACCTGACACCTCTTTACTATTGACTCGTGTATTAATCATCTAGTCCGGTTCGCATGTAAATTCATCATGCAAGGAACCAAGGGAGTTTTAGGTCTAAAGTGCTACGGGGGTCCTTATATCCAATTCAATCACAAGAATTGCTATGCACCACCAGAAAATCCTCACTTTTGCTTTTCAGCTTAATCTAAAACCAAATTACCCCCCAATAAGCTGCAGTATTACTAGCTAACACTGAAAAGCAAAAGTCTCATCTCGAGTTCGAAGATCAACACCTCGAGATTGATATCAAGTTGATACCAAGAGACTATCAAGCCAAAGCAA